TCAAGGTGCGGAGGGGAGACTTCCCTTTTCTCCGTGCAGCTTGTTCCTTTGTAGGATTATGCTTCAAAGGATTGTCTTTGAAATCTGGTGGCTCCCTTATTCCTTGAGAGTTTCTAATGAGTCCTTGGTTTGGGTGACATCCATATTTTCTCATCATGTGGGTCACCTTCATATTGTTGGGGAAGTCTTTTCGTATTGGCAAAAGATATTTCAAAGGTCTTCTTCCGCCGCATCCATTCAAGGTAGGGCAGACGATTTGCTAATCTGAATGTTGTCTCTAGCTCAAATTGTGACTAGCTCGTCGCCTACCCTGAGTTTGTCTCTTTGGAGGAGCGTTGTGAATTGCCTCAGCGTCGTGAATCCAAAGTCTCTTCAATTTCCTCTTTGGATTATGTTTTTCTTTGGTCTTATTATTTTTCCTTTATTCTTAGGAGCATCATCTTATACGTCCTTGGTGAAATAGATTCTTCCACTTCTAATCTTGCCCCGAATGTCGGCTATGCTGGAAATATCTTCATTAATGGAAGATGTTTCTGCGTATCTCCAAGGAAACATCTAGTGGAACAAGAGAATTATCAATTTCAAAAACTCTTTTGTCCCACTATATTTGAGCTTATTGCTTCCTTAAACTGTTAACATGGTCAAAAGCATAAATATTGGATTATCATCAACTTCTTTCACATCCTCATCAATAATAGGTTCTTTCATAACATGTTTACCATGATAGATAAAATCCTAAACAACATATAACAAATAGTTAAACATTTATAGAATTATGAAGAATAATAAGAATATAAAAGAAAGAAAAGGAACACAATATATTACATTTCCTTGAGAGTAGCATCACCAAACATATTTTTGAATAAAATAATATAAAAGTTAATGATTACACTTTTTCCCTAATTAATGCAATGTCAGACTTAGAAAAGGCAAACATGACGAGCACATGATAAGTTGATTCGTCTGTCTCTATTAATACTACCTACATACATCACAAACTCTGTTTGGGCGCTTGTATATCTAATCGACCCTTCAAGATACTCGGATAATAAATCACCCTGAAATATCTGCTATACACCTAACAAATAGTGATAAAAATATCTCATACATCTAAGGTAGATATGATAATACACTTCTATATAAAAAATTTGGTATCTCCTCTATTTCATTAATTTTCATTCTAATATCCATTTTTCTTTCATACAATGAATTAAAAATCAAAGACTCTTTTGTATATCTCCACTCAGTTTATACCTGCTCTGCCAAATAGGAGGGAGTTTGAACGCCTTCTTTAATTCATGTAACAAAAAGCACAATTTCTTCATACTAAAATCGTGTTTTATAACACTTTAAAAAAAAAATTACACCATTACCGTAAAAACCCCAAATTCTTTCTTATAAACTTGGCATTCAAACGAGAATACATCTTAATTTGTCATTTCACATTTGAATTAGATATCAAATTTGAAATCTTATAACATACACTAAGTATTTTATAAGTTAGAAGCATATTAAACGAGAATTATTTATTTATAAATAAATTTGATTTTACTTAAAATGGACATATCTAATTTATTTAAAATATTTATAAAGGATTTCTTATAAACACCCGGTAACTATTTCAATTCTTATATTATCTAGGTAACATAAATTAAGATATTTTTCTAATAAATAAAAATATACAATATTTTGGTTTTATGTTTATTATAATAACATTATTATGGTGAATCATCCTAATAAATAATAGATGTACTATCTGATTTGAAACTCTAATCTGTCATGGTTTTGTTCTTGGAAGACTTTTTGATAAGTTGTGAAAAGAAGGTTTATATAAATTACTATTTATCTCAATTCTTAAATGATATGAAACTTATGAGCATACTAAAATATAACTCCCCAATTAAGAATTAAGGGATATGAGTGAAGCGAAACTTTATCTTCGATTTCATCGTGGACATCAAATATTCTTATCAAATTCGAGTTTTGTTAACTTTCTTTTAGACAATACCTAAGTTGTGTTGAGAAAAGGGAGAATCGGCCAATATTAAAGTTAGTAAGATTCTCCAATATTAAAATTAGTAAATGAATTAATAAGAAAAAAATACTTAAAGATAAATAAGAGAAAGTAAACCTTTTATTGAATGGTGTACACCTAACTAAGTTAATTTATAGGATATTTTGTCCTATTATATAAAAGATATCCTTATATGACATAATACTATCTATATATATGTGATATTAGTATATCTTTACAGGTACAAAATACATATTAATTCAATATCAATACATAATATACATGATTATCTAATTATAAAAAATAGAATTCACAAATTATATTACACTATTTAGTAGACATTAAAATGTATTATATATTATCTAAAATAATCTAACAAGAACCTTACAAAATAATTTTATTATTTGTACATAATATTTTTATACATATTTATTTGTCAGGGTATAATTTTTTTATACTAATTTAATTTAAAGATTATAATGTATTTATAAGTGGACATCTTCCTTTTCTTTTTATCATTACAGATATAATTCGTCATAGAATATCTAAAAGATAAAAAACGTCTTAACCGACATATTCGTACTCATCGTAATTCAACTTTTGAACACATATTTTGAGTCACATGCTAATTTTAGTTTATGAGAAAATAATTTTTCAGTAATATTTATAGTGAAATTTTTAAAAATATATTTTTAATTTAATGTAAGTTAGAGATTAACAATAATTAAAAATAATTTATATTAATAAGTAGTACTTAAATAAATTTTAGATGTGAATACATTAAAAACAACTATATTATATTATTCTAATTTTAAAAAATTATACTATCCAATAAAAGAGTCTTAATAATCATTACTCAAGGACGTAAAATAACTTAACGAATATGTGAAATAATTCTTACAAATATGATTTTGTATGCTTTTAATTACCGTAAAATATTTATTATTTTAAAATTTATGATATTTTTAATCATTATTTTCCAACTCTTATTGTTAACTGTAATTATTTTAACACTAGACATAAAAATTATTAATTACGGTATTAAAGATAATAAAAAATATTTCAAATTAAAATAATTAGATTTTGCATGTATGTTATTAAATTAAGCAGTATTTTATTATTTAATATAAATAAGGTAATTATATATATATATATAATTTTTACTTTCATTTTTACTTTTTCCTTCATTATATTACTAAAAATAATTAATATTTTGTTTTGTAGATTGATTTTGATATTATAATATAAAATATTTTGTTAATAAATTATAAATAAAATTTTATTTTTAAAGACAAAAATAACAATTTATTTTAGATAATTAAAATTATTAGTAAAAAATTTAAATTATACATGTATATATCGAGATTTTTACATTTATTATATTTATTAATTTTAATAAAAAATTTATTTTAAATTAATTAATTTAAATATATATTATGATAATAATATGTAATTAAAGTATTTAATTATTCAATTATCTTTAAATGATAAATATTAACATTAAAATATGTATAATTTATGATCTAAACTATCTTGATAAAATATCTATAAATAAAATTATTTTATTTCTTATAAATCATCTCATTCTTATTCAAATTGTTTTTTATTATTTCTATTTTTTTCTTCTTCTTTTCAACTTAAGCGTTAAAGTGTCTGTGTATATAAATCTTCTCCTTTTTCTAACATTCAGACTCGACTTATTAGATTCCTAAACAATAGTTGTCTAGATTGATCTTTCAGTGATCTTTTCAATTTTATTGACTGATCTTATTAAAATTATTATTATTGTAATTTTTCGATAAAAACATTTGGCAGAGGCCATGGCACATCAAAACAACTAATAATCAACTTGATATGCAATAATATAAATCTTGAAGATATCATCAACAACCTAAAATCTCACATGGAAGAAATATTCGAGAATATAATCCCTCGTACTTAGAATCTTGCAAGTAATTATATTAGAAGGTAAATTGATATGTTATAATAAGAAATATATGTTTAACACAAAGTTAATGTTAAAGGGTGTGACGAACACAATTCACCAAATTATTTACTTATAATATCCACACACAATGCAAAGCTAATGTACCAAAATATTTACTTATAATGTATACACAATGCAAAGCTAATATGAAAGAGTAATATGAAAGAGTGCAACTAGTATAGCTTGACAAAACTCTTATTTCACACTTACCATTTAGCTCCACGCTAAGGTGAAAGGGAGCTGCTATAGCTCGCCCAAGTACTTACTTCACACTCCATTTAGTTTCTTGCAATATTTAGTTTCCTGCTACACTTAGCTTCATCTACATTTAGCTTCACACTATAGATAACTGTACGCTAATGCAAAAAATTTGTAGCTATAAGATGGAATCCATGTAACTTATCAAGTTTATAGAAAAAGTTATATAAGATTGAGCTTCTATAATTCATCAAATTTATAGCAAAGAGAGAGCTTTTATCTCATTTTAAAGAGTTAATTCAACTCTATGTGATAGGAGTTATATATCATTTGAGTTATACATCAAGCCAAGTATTATGCAAACATGTAACTACGTTATAACAATTTGGCCAAAATCAAGCTAAGTAAAATTACTGATCCCTTGAAAGTGAGGGAAGTAGCCAAAATCTAACCCAAGTAAGATAGATTCATTCCAGACAGAACAAAATGACAAAACAAACAGAAAGAAACAGGAAGATACAAATGAATGGTAGGGAGGTGGAGGTGGTGGGGGTGGTGTAGTAAAAGTAGGGCAAGGTGGGTGAAAGCGAAACCGAAACCAAAAAGTTTATTGCTATTATTATTTGGCCTTGTTTTTCAGTGTCAAATTGCACTAATCAAATGCTCTAACCACACTCCATCACCTCCATGTATACCCCTTCTCATCTCACACTAATCAAACACAACCATGCTTCTTTTTCTGTGAGGCTCTCTTTCAGGTTCTTTACTTGAACAGTGTCAATAGTGCGGTTGCAAATTCCAATGTCTAAGCATGATATTGAGGGTGGTTCCTTCTCTGAAAAGGACTACTATGACCCTCCACCAGCACCCTTGATTGATACTGAGGAACTCATCCAGTGGTCCTTCTACAGGGCCTTGATTGCTGAGTTCATTGCCGCAATGCTCTTCCTTTACATCACTGTGCTCACTGTCATTGGTTACAAGAGCCAGAGTGATGTCAATGCTGGGGGTGATCTTTGTGGTGGGGTTGGCATTCTTGGCATTGCTTGGGCCTTTGGTGGCATGATCTTCATCCTTGTTTACTGCACTGCTGGAATCTCAGGTGTTTTTCCACTTTTCAATATCATATATACCTTTTTAATTTGCTTACATGGACTTGAGTCTCTTTTCTTGTTTGCTTGTTGTGCTTCATGTCTTACAAGTCTGTTTTATTGGCATGGTTTCCTTTCTGGCTGCTTCGCATCCAAAGAGGGAAAGTTTCTATCTTCGAACTCTACTTCAAGGTTTTAAATTGTGGTTACATGGTCACACTTTAGTTGCAATTCTTAATTTTCTGGGAAATTGCTAACAAATGTGGCTGATGCAATCGCAGTTGTAGTTGCAGAGACCCAAAATTCCATGACATTTTGGCCAAAATCGCATTTGCGTACTGTTTTTTAAAAACTGGCTCTGACCATGCCCCCATTAAGCCAATTAGCCAGCATGTTTTGGTTTTGAGTGTTTACCAAATGTTATAATGGCGTTCTTCAAATTTAAATGGTTTTTTCTGTCTAGTAATTCCCATTTTCTCTCAAGTTTCTCGGTTTTCAAACTGAGATGCTGGTGCTTTGTGCATGTTGTCTTGGGTGAAAGTAAACAGTTAACCTGATTTTCTGGCAAGTCGTTGTTAATATTCTGAAAATTGTAATTTTGTATCCGATGAAGGGGGTCACATAAACCCAGCAGTGACTTTTGGACTCTTCTTGGCTCGGAAGGTGTCTTTGATAAGGGCTATATTGTACATGGTGGCTCAGTGCTTGGGGGCCATATGTGGAGTTGGGTTGGTTAAGGCCTTCCAAAAGGCTTACTACAACAGGTATGGTGGTGGGGCCAATGAACTGAGTGAAGGGTACAACACAGGTGTTGGATTGGGTGCTGAGATCATTGGAACCTTCGTTTTGGTGTACACTGTCTTCTCTGCTACTGACCCCAAGAGGAATGCTAGAGATTCTCATGTCCCGGTATGAGTTCAATCATTTAATGAATTGTAGTCTTGTTTGTGCTTCTTTACCCCCTTTTCAAAAATACATTGTTTGTTAAATTAACAGCAGATAGAGAAAACAATGATTAAATGGTACACTGCATACCAAGTTCATAATATATTGTCATATACCCTGCTTTTAAGCAAGCATGGACTCACTCTTGGCTCTTTCTGGTTTTAAAAAGAAGTTAAAGTGCATTGTAATACTTTAGACTGGTTATTGGTAAAGAAAAAGTTGAGGGAAACTGACTTAGTTATTATGAGATATCTCAACTTCAAGTATCTACCTATGCTTTCTAAATGAAATAAGGTAGATTGACATTTAAGTAATTAAGAAAATTAGTTGTAGTTTTTGAGATGGCTGCCAAGATTCATACCAGCTGAATATTTTCTTTTCAGTGAATTTTTGAGTAGTTGTACCTGCTGCCACTCAACAAATTTCCATCTGAAATGACAAAGTTTACAGCCTATGCTATGATGCTGTTTCCCTTTGCATAAAAAGTTTTGGCACAGTTAACATGCATGCTTGCTATTATTTTTGTTATCATTAATAGTAATAGAAGCTCTTTATAATAATCATTTCAGAATAATGTTAATTAGTGCATCCTTCTTGAAACAGTTAAAGATCTTAGCCAAATAGATTTCGTTTTCATTTTGGACTATAAATTCATCCTTCTATTCACTACTTTATTTAGTTAGAGACTTGTTCCGCAATACAATATATCTTAGCTAGCTCAGGAAGCATTCAATGTAGATAAAAAATTTCCACTTTTCTTGCTTCGCTTGGCTTCCTTTCTTTCTACTACTTGTATGATTGTCTTGTCCTCAAAACAAGAAAGTGGGTATCCTTTTCCTGTGGGCATTTTTTATGTCTTAATGGTTACATTTTTCATTCATCTAAGCATCCTAGAGTGGTGAACCTATTCATTTTTTATTGAAGTGAAATGTTACCATATGCTTTACAAATATGGGCCCATTAGACCATTACCATATATGATTCTGTGGACGTATTCGATTTTCACAGCCTTATCACACGGATCTTACCTGTTTTCTTTCTTCTTTTAAGAAAAGTGGATTCTTCAGGAGTTTCATTCTGCATTTTTTTGCCTTGGAAGCAAAATGTGTGTTTGTTAATGTGGATATTTATGGCGGAAAATTAAACTGTTCAGAACAGTTTCATTCATGCTAAATGCCATTTCCCAAGCTGGGAAATCTCGTGCGATTTTCCAGCATCATCCTCATTTGTCATTATATCAGGTTTTGGTTCCTCCATACAGTTTCTCAGATTCTCCAAATCAATAAAGAAAGGAAACCATACTCCTCACATGGGGCATGTCCCATCTGTCCCAAGTGCTTACTTTTTTTCATTTCTATTTTTTCATTTTATATTAACATGATTTTAGAAAAGGGTCTGCGCCACAATTTTGACTGCAAAATTAAGCATTTTAGTCTCTCAGACTATAGTTGCAGTCAGCCACATTTATCCGCAATTTCCGATAATATCAAAGATCACAATGAAACTGTAATAGCGACCCTAATATAAAATCTTTATAAATTTGGATTCATATGTTTGACTCAACTTTTCTACATTTTTTGTTTTAATTGAACCACAGCAGTTTCTTATTGTGCTTTTGTTCTGTGTTTGAAGGTTTTGGCTCCGCTTCCAATTGGATTTGCTGTATTCATGGTTCACTTGGCAACCATCACTGTAACTGGCACTGGCATTAACCCTGCTAGGAGTCTTGGAGCTGCTGTCATATACAACCAAAAGAAGGCCTGGGATGACCATGTGAGTAATGTTTTCTATATTCAACAACTTGCTAGTTTTGTACAATAATCAAATATTCAAATTTATAATTTGTCATGTCAAATAACAAAGGATAAAATAGATGCCACTTGTGTCTGATATAGTCTTGTTCCTTATGTTTGTTCAGTGGATCTTTTGGGTTGGACCATTCATTGGAGCAGCCATTGCAGCCTTCTACCACCAATTCATCTTGAGAGAAGTTGCTGCTAAGGCTCTTGGATCGTTCAGGAGCAACCCCATTATTTGAGTTAGCCAATATATCCTCAAATGGGTTTAAAGAGGAGATAATTGGAAGCAAAATGAGTTGATATTGCATCAAAATAATAATGTCAACTTCTTGTACTTTTATTGCAAGCTTTTCTTTGATCCTATGTAGATTGAAGCTTCTTTCAAGACAAGAGCCTTTGGTAAATACCCTTTAGTCCTTTAGTATTAAGCACTTTCCTTTGTACTTCCTCGAGTGTGTGATCTTTTCTTTTGGCTAATTTTTCTATTGTACTCAACGTATTCATGGGAGAAAAGTTACATGATATCCATGCTTTTACTCACAAAAACGTTTCCATTGCCCTTTTCTGTGAGTTAATTTACGTACAACTTATCTACAAAAGCAAAAAGTAAACATGGCATGCAACATTCATGCAATTGGTCAAAAGCAAATGAACAACCGGACAAAGAAAATTCCTGCAATAATGAAAGGAATGTGTAACGGTGTTGAATGCAATCAGCAAAAGAATAAGACAGTGATACGGTGTACTTCATAAAACACAAGTGTGAGTGTGACAAATGGTAAAGTAACTTACGTAAGCGTTTTAAATACAGACACTTTTTCATAGGAAAAAACAAAGTTAAAACATAGATAGCACATGGTACAACTATTTGTACAACTAAAAGAGAGGTACAACTAAAAGAGTAACCGAAAGTAAACAGAATAAACAGAAGATATTGTTTGATATTGTGGTTAACAATATCTGACAATATCTTAACAATATCAAACAATATCTAAACAATATCTAACACTCCCCCTCAAGCTGGAACATACAAATCGTATGTGTCAAGCTTGTTACAAATATAATCAATTCTAGGCCCCTGTAAAGACTTAGTAAAAATATATGTTAACTTATCACTTGAGTTAAAAAACTTAGTCTTGATGTCTCTAGACATAATCTTTTCTTGAATGAAATGACAATCAATCTCAATGTGTTTGGTCCTCTCATGAAAGACAGGATTAGAGCTAATATAAAGAGCAGCTTGATTGTCATAGACATGTGTCATTTGAGTGACATATCCAAATTGTAACTCTCTAAGCAATTGCTTAAGTCAAACAAGTTCACAGGTAGCTGAGGTCATAACTCTATATTCTGCTTCTGCACTGGATCTTGCCAAAACACTTTGTTTCTTACTTTTCCATGAGATCAAGTTACCACCAATGGAGACACAATATCCAGATGTAGATCTTCTATCCGAAGGAGATCCTAGCCAATCAGCATCTGAGTAGTACATAACTCTTGTATGGTTATTGTCATCGTTGTCAAAAGAGGCAGTCAGAGCGACGCGATGGTTATAGAGATGGTCGACATTCTTAAGATGTCTGATAATTGGACTGATCTTAAGGATGAAGTTTTCGAAAAAGGTTCTATGGAGTCGCCACCAGTGTTTTAACCTTAAACACTGAAAAAGGTAAAAAGGCATTGGTTTTAGAAAAAAACAACCTTGGTCATTACAACCAAAGTCGGGTAAGGGAGTTAGTTACGTGTGGGGAAGGTATTAGCACCCCACAACGCCCCTTTCAGGTTCCCTATGATAGATTAGTTTATAAAATAAATACTTAAAGAAACTATGCCCTAATATCTACTTACAGAATTTAAATGTCTACATAACCCTAATATCTAATGCATACAAGGAAAGTAATAAATAAAGTAGTAAAAGAGAGAATAGGGAAGGAACCTCCGAAGAGAGTGTTAGAAAAGTAGTTTTAGATCAAGAGGGGGGGGGGGGTGAATTGATCTTTGATAGTTTTTCGCAAATCACAGATTATCTAATTCGAAAATTAAGTTTACTAATCTATTCTTGAATCGCAAAGCAATCAATCAAAATAAGCGCAACAACTGAATTTAAAGAGTGAAAGGTTAAGAAAGATTTCACCGGTAATTTATACTGGTTCACCCAATACCAGGGCTACGTCCAGTCTCCAGCCAAATTCCAGCTGGGTTCCACTAGATTAAATGTTTTATAGATTCAACAATCTTACACCTAATCTAACACAAGAACCAAATTCCAGTTCCTGCACTTAACCTCTCCACCAAGAACCAAATTTCAGCTCTTGATAACCTCTACAACCAAATTCCAGTTGCAGAGAAACCAGTGCCCAAATTCCAGGCACCAAACCTTTCACCAAGAACCAAATTCCAGTTCTTGATAACCTCTACAACCAAATTCCAGTTGCAGAGAAACCAGTGCCCAAATTCCAGGCACCAAACCTTTCACCAAGAACCAAATTCCAGTTCTTGATAACCTCTACAACCAAATTCCAGTTGCAGAGAAACCAGTGCCCAAATTCCAGGCACCAAACCTTTCACCAAGAACCAAATTCCAGTTCTTGATAACCTCCACAACCAACTTCCAGCTGCAGAGAAACTTGTGCCCAAATTCCAGGCACAACACAATACAAAAGAATGAAAAAGAATTTACAAAGAAGAAACTAGAAAGCTCAAACCAGTTTATCCAAATCTGCAGAGAGTTTCTTCTTCAAAAGAATGCAAGTTGCCTCAAGAAAGATTTTCAAAATAACTTCAAAAAATTGTTGCGAATCTTTTTTGAAAAAGTTCTAAGTTTTTCTTGAATGATTGCTTAAGGATGTGTAAAAACTGATATTCAAAGTCTGTTTAAAAAGTTCAAGCAAAACTGTTTTTAAAGAGTAATTTCAAAAACTGCTACATTAATTAATCTGTTGAAAGTTTGTTTTAATCTGTTGAAATAGTCGTTTCAATCTGTTAAAAGTCCTTTCAATCCATTAATGCGTTCTTGTTTCTTTAACAGAATTGTTTTAGTTGATACTGCACCAGTTATATCAATTAAAACACTTTACAAAACTTTTCCAAGTTTGATTCAATCGATTGTTTCGTGTTTTAATCGATTGATATACTGTAAAACTTTCTTATAAAACTTTTCAAGTTATTTTAACTGATAAAAAAAAGTTTTAATCGATTAAATCTCTGTACAAAATTTTTCCAAGTTGTTTTAATCGGTTGAAAAGCGTTTTAATCGATTGAAACAGATCTGATCGGTCATAATTCAATTCTGATCGATCATAAACAACTCTGATCGGTCATAACTGCATTCTGATCGATCATTCTGACCCTTTAAGTGATTTTAATCGATTGAAACGTGTTTTAATCGATTTAAATAAGTTCTGATCGCTTATATTTCAAATTTGATCGGTCATGATGGGTTCTAAAGGGTTTTAATCGATTAAAAGCAATTTGTATCGATTAAAATATTGTAAAAACACTTCTTTGAACATTCTAAGTGATTTTAATCGGTTCTTTCAAAACTATATCAGTTAAAAACATTATTAAGAAAGCTTTTGTCAAAATGCTTTGTTTTTAATTGTTTAAAACGATTTTAGAGGCATTTTGCAAAATCATTTAAGTGAAGAAACTTCATGCAGCAGAAAAGATAAAGTGGTTTTACCTAAGCATTCTGTTAGACACACTAATCTTCTAACTCTTTTATCTGAGTAACTTGTTGACTGCTGCAAAGTTGACTTTTGACTTCATCTTTGACTTCATCAAATCAATGAGATCTTTGTCAAAGTATTTCACTAAGATCTTCATCACTTTCAGAGAGCTTTATATTAACTCTTGAACTTGAGGACGCTTTTTGGCTGTCCCCGCACTCTACAAGCACACTCCTCCCACAAAAGAAAAAATTTGACTCTACCGAGGGATGGATGTGTCAAAGAGAGACCTCCTTAACCGATTTCTACCTTAACAGAAGTCTAAACACTCACTCAAACTCCGGAATAATGCTCAGAGTCACTCTAAAGTGCCAAAAGGCTTCCTAGAGAGTGGTAGGAGTGAATAGTGGTGAGAAAAATGGTGAAATGAGACTCCTATTTATAGGGAACCGTACTAGGAAAAGTGGACGGCCGTATGGGCTTAGTGGACGACCGTCCATGGCAAAAAGTGAGCATGGACGACCGTCTATGTAGAGTGGACAACCGTCCATGGCTAAAAGTTGTCATGGACGGCTGTCTGGGCTAAGTGGACAGTTGTCCATTGCCTTAAAGTAGGCATGGACGACCGTCTAGCTAACCTGGACGACCATCTATTGTTCCCGATGAAATTTCCAATTTTTATTGCATCTAAAAACCTTTCCTATCTTAAATGGAACTTAGAAAAAGCTACTAGGTGTTAGAAAAAGAGGCTGAGATCAAGAGGGGTGGTGAATTGATCTTTGAAAGATTTTCGCAATTAACAGATTATCTATTTCAAAAATTAAGATTTCATATCTGTTCTTGAATCACACAGCAAGCAATAAAAAAATAAATGTAGCAACAAAATTAAAGAAAAGAAAGGTTTAGAAAGATATCACCAAGGTTTATACTGGTTCACCCAATCCCAGGGCTACGTCCAGTCTCCAGCCAAATTCCAGCTGGGTTCCACTAGATTGAATGTTTTACAGATTACAACCTTAACCTTACACTCAATCTACCTCAAGAACCACAATTCCAGTTCCTGCACCTAACCTTTCACCAAGAACCAAATTCCAGTTCTTGACAACCTCTACAACCAAATTCCAGCTGCAGAGAAACCAGTGCCCACAATTCCAGGCACCAACAATACAGAAAAGAATGTAAAGAAACAAACAGAAGAAACTAGAATGCTCAAACCAGTTTTATGCAACTCTGCAGTATGTTCTTTCTTCTTAAAAGAATGCAATTTTGCCTCAAGAAAAAATTCTTTTGAACTTCACAAAAACTAGCGCGAATCTTTCTTGAAAGAAGTGTTGAGCATTCAAGGACTTGATGTTGCACTTGATGGACATAAAGATTGTTGATTTTGATGATGATTCAAGAACACAAAGACTTAGAGTGTTGAAGACTTGTTTTGTGTTGTAATAACTCTATTTCAATTAGATTGAGTCTGTAATATGAGAGTTTAAGATAGCCGGTACATAGTCTGCACCTTAGAAACTTCAAAAAACTCAAATATATCATCCACGCTGGGCTTTAATCGATTAAATAGG